TTAACTCCTTAAGGACATTGACATTTTTTATATAGATTTCAATTAAACGTAAAAAATACTTAAAACAGAAAAAAAACGAAAGAAATGCGTTTATTTTGAAGAAAAAGCTTTAAATTTTATTTTCCTTTGTTTCGCCTGTCTGTGAAATGTAACACCGATGAGTCATTGTTTACACAGCTGGGTGACCTTGAACACAGCTGGAGTCCGATTTCCCGGGACATTCTCATAGACATCGCGGGAGGACAAGGGTTTAAAGAAGGGTGACTTCAATCTGGCGGTATATTTTTAAATATTTTAAAAAAATTATAATTTTTATTGCGATTTCCGACCCCCCCTAATTAATTAAACTTATATATAATAAAATTATTAATTAAAAAACTATTGGAGGTCGTTTTTGACATCAGAAAGTAGCTTTAAATAACTTTACCAAAGGAAAATCCGTGCGCTAGAACTTTAGAACGATGAATTAAATTTGATTAAAAAAAATCCCATTAAAAAACAATTAAGCCTTAATCGAGCCTTATCAAAGGCTAATTAAAATCGCGATAAAATTTTTTCGCGTGGGCAAAAAATTTGGAGACTTAAAAAACATTCCAAAAATTGAAAAAAAAAATTTGGCCTTAAGGACCGAGTTTTTTGTAACGCTATGTAAGCTTGATGAGTTAACTCGTCAATGGGAATGAAGGGGTTCCCTTATCCATCTCAAATTTTCAGTTTTCTGGTTTTATGATTTATTCTTTTATAACCTATTTGTTATAATGATTCAGATATATCTGACCATGAAAAATTTCTGGAGTTGCTTACCCAGGATTCGATTCTGGATGCCCCAGAACAGTATGCTGACAACTTAATTATCTCAGCCATCTGATTGAGAAAAAGACCCTCTTTAGTGTCCAAGTAGTGGAGCGTCAAAAATAAATAAATAATGCAAAATGTTACCTACTCTTCAAAATACTCTTTCATATGAAATTTTACACACTTGAAACTCTTAAGAGGTATCAGAATTCTTTTAATACAAAAATGATATACAGTCAAATCTCTGAAAAACCACTGGCAGGAACAAAAAAGGCCTTTATTGGTGATTCAGCTGTATTTGACTATAAAAATAACTTTATTTCTGGGGAATAATAGCAGTTTTATGAGTTTTCAACTGTAAAAAATATCATAGAATGTGAGAATATGAAAGTAAATTAACATTTGCTGTTGATTTACATGGTCCGTATAGACATGGAAACTCAGGGAATCCGTTAATACCGCGGAATCCGTCAGTCGCTCTCTCCTTTTTGCTCCAAATACGTCTTTAAATTCGGTGCAGCTACGAAAACTGGAGTGACCAAAAAAATGGCAATATTTGTCACACTTATTTCTCGTAAACTATTAATGATAATCTAACGTTTTACAAAAGAATATATTTCTTAATACTATACATACAGGATGAGTCAATTTCATTTGGTCCCTTCACACGCTGTTGAGGTAATGACAATTCCACGGCGTAGTCGACCTTTTATTGTAGACTATTCGTCTACTGTTAAAATGTATTTATTAATTTTTATCATTGTGCCACCTTTTTATCATTGCTAGAGGACTATTTTAAGTTTTTTGCATTGAATGGCGGATGAGTAGCTTACAACAAGAGCCTGTACACACTAGGCGTTTTTAAAACGCGCGTTTAACGCCGAGCTAACGCGCGTTAGCTCGACGTTCGACGAGCGTTAGTTCGGCGTTAGCACTGGTTCAGTTTGGAAATGGACGTGAAAGTAATTGATTGTGTGTGCTCCTTCATCGTCGCTATAAGGCAGCACATATATCTCAAAGCGTCCGTAAAGCGCCTGCAAAACGCGCGTTTTAACAAAAATCTATAAACGCGCGCTTGTCCAAAAGCGCGCGTTTGAGTGTGTACGCCTACATAGAACTCTTGGTTCTTTAAAACGCGCGTTGAAAAACGCCTAGTGTGTACAGGCTCTAAAGGTCGACTCCAACGTGGAATTGTTATTATTTCAATAGCGTGTGAAGGGACCGAATGAAATTGCCTCATCCTGTATATATACGTGGTAGTTTCAAGAAATATATTCTTTTGTAAAAGTAAAATCGTCCCGGCAATTTTTTAAAAAGATAATGTAACGATTTAAAGTTTGTCGGATAGAAGGTGTACGTCTGTATTTAAAATGGTGGATAATGGGGATGCAGGGCCGGATTAACCCACTTTGGGGCCCTAGCAGTGGATGCGCCACTTCCCTTGTATTTTATAAGAAATAAATGCATATTAATTTTAATTATATGAAAATAATCGCACAATATTATAACCGCATTATGTATCTTATTTCAAATTTCTATACTACATGTGAAAAAAAAGATAAGATTGCTATTGTATATTCGAATATTTGGATGCTGACAATACAGAGGTATTGTCAGCATCCAAAAAGCCAGATTCGCGCATGCGCTTTACAGAGCACCAACCTCACCCGGTTTAGCTGGTGGAAGCCTAGGACGTTGGGTGGATGCATACCGCATCCAATTCTATCCAGGGCTGATTCTGGGCTGTTAGCCGCCTGCCCGCTAGATATTTGGCCGCCCTCTCCTCATTATGTGAATCACGAGTAGATTTATAACTTAATCCAACCGATAAGAATTTACTGGTACGTTTTTATGATAGTTCTGTATAGTTGATAGGAGTTTTTAAAAAGCCATTAAAATATTTGATATTTTTATTCCTCTCTCCGATTTTATATTACTCACGGATTTCAATGTTAAACCAGTGATATTACGATTTCGTATATCCCATCTTTAAGGGGATGTAGAAAAACACGTGTACAATTCTTGTATAATGTTAAAAAATTAACCTTTACTTCGATAGCATCATTTACAACTAAATTTAATGAACGAGAGAGATGCGAATAAACGATACGAATGGACCCTAGACCATCACTGACGCGCAATTGACTGATTGCCCCTAGATGTCGGCTTCTTACAGAAACACAGCTTCCTATCATCAAATGTCAGGGCACGCCACAGGGCCCTAGACATTTTCTTCTTACTGGGCCCCTTCTCTCTCCCACATGAAATAGAGCACACAAAAAATATAAAACAGTAAATAAAACAAAACTAAGTAATGTGAAAAATTAAAACAAATCTTAAATTTTTGTTAATAAAAAATATTTAATATACAACAATAAANCACCTGATTATCTAACAGAAGCAGAATTAATAACATTGATGGAAAAGCATGGTATTGGAACAGATGCTTCTATTCCTGTACATATTAATAACATTTGCCAACGTAATTATGTTACAGTAGGAAGTAAGCGGCGACTTATTCCAACTCCACTTGGCATAGTTCTTGTTCATGGTTATCAAAAGGTAATTTAAAAGAGTTGTCATTTATTTATTAATATTTTGAATTGTTAAAATTCATTAACTTAAAATTTCTGTATAATTAATTTTTTAAGAATCAAAATCTATTATTTTTATTTTTGCCATATAATATTGCATTAAACTGGTTTATAAAACTTACAATGCATCACAATTTAACTCATATCTTTGGATTTTAAGTAATCATATTATCTTAAGCATGTTAACAGGGCTTTTGAGAGATTGTATGAGTCCTGGGAGTAGAGCAAGCCCCATTTGCCATTTTTTTGAACGAATAAAATACATAAAAAGCTTGTTTATTAACTTAATAAAAAAAGTTTCAAAGATTTTATTTTTCCTTAGTAAAAAATAACATTGATTTATATAGATAGGAAGCAGTTAGTGTCCCCAAGTTTTCTCCAGGCCTCCAAGCTACTATTGATGACCTTGCATATTAATGTCATGTTGTAATGTAATGACAAAATTCTCTCTATTGCGTTTCTTTGTTATGAATATATATATTTTTTAATATTTATTAATTTTATATTTTCCTTGTCTCTGTATATTTTTAACTTTAAAAAATACTGTAAGGAAGTTTAACTGTTGTACAAAAATTTTTTTCTTTGTGTAGACTGCATCCTTAAATATTTTAATTTAAATCATCACAGCTTACTTTCATGCTTAGTTAACCTTACATACAATCCAATAAAATTACTTAATTTTTTTCATTGATTCTTATTTTAAATGTATGAAAAGTTTAGCTTTTAAACTAAAAAACTGTGTTTATTTTTATAGATTGATCCAGATTTAGTTTTACCAACTATGCGGGCAGCAGTTGAAAAACAACTGAATCTTATTGCTGCAGGTAAAGCAGATTTTTCTTCAGTGTTACACCACACATTAACAGTGTTTGAATTGAAATTTCATTATTTTGTGACTAATATTCTTGGAATGGATGAATTGTTTGAAGTCACTTTTAGTCCCTTATCTGACAGTGGAAAACCACTATCAAGGTATTTTTCATTTTTTTTTTCTTTTGATTTGTAAAAACAAGACAGAATATAAATATTTATATATTTATTTGTTATATTACAGATGTGGCAAGTGTCGTCGTTACATGAAATTAATTGCCACAAAGCCAAATCGACTTCATTGTCCGCAATGTGATGAAACACATTCTATCCCACAAAATGGAAGTGTAAGAGTTTACAGAGAATTAAAGTGTCCATTAGATGATTTTGAATTGTTACAGTGGTCTGGTGGAAGTAAAGGAAAGGTGAGAGCTATATTAAATTTTGAATGTTTTAAATGATAGTATTATTAAAACAAATTTTTATAATTTGAGTTTGTATAGAAATATAACTTTAATAACTCTCTAAATATTACTGATTGATAATATAATTTATTTCAGAGTTTTGTATTCTGTCCATATTGCTTTAATCATTCACCATTTCGTGATATGAGAAAGTTATCGGGCTGCAATTCATGTACACATCCTGCATGCCCACATTCTTTGACAGTTAATGGAGTTGCATCTTGTTCACAGTGTGAATTTGGTGTCCTTGTATTAGATCCTGCTTCTGGTCCAAAATGGAAATTATCTTGTAATAGGTATGATTGTGCTATTCGATTTTGCTATAGATTTTTTCTGAATAAAATATAATTAAAGAATATAAATTCCCATTGTCGTACATCCATTTGTCCCATCTCTTTTTCCTTAATTTCAAGAATGGAGTCAGATAGATGAAAGACAAGACCAGATATGGAAACGTTGGGGCAGGAAGTCCCGATTAACTAGATACGAACTTCCGATGCAAACTGGAAGTCATGTTATATGTTATTCAAACATTTCCCCTGAAAGGAGTTAGATAGATATCAGTATGATTCTGTTGTTAAAGGAAAAGTATGATGTACAGGGGCAAGCCATTACTAATTTTAAGTGGAGAGCATATATTTGAAATTAAGTAAATTAAAAATATGATTTAAAAATTGCAGCTTGGCATTGTGACAATGTCACAATAAATAATTGCTCATGTAGACTTATTTTATAACCTGTCTTTTGTACAAAAATAAAAAATTAAAAATGTCAAAAATGGAAGAAAATATATATAGAACTGTTGCAAAATATGAACATTAATTCTTAAGTAGAAAACAAATTTATTTGAAGTATAGTATTTGAATGATTTAATAGTATATGAGAAAGATGTTACAGATTTAAATGGTTACTTGAATCATTCTAATCATTCTGTTTCAGATGCGATGTCATTATCCATGTATTTGAAGATGCTCAGCGATTGACTGTTGGCGAAGAAACCTGTACAGACTGTGGAAGTCAGAAAATGCTTATAGAATATAAAAAAGTATATGGAATTCTCTTATGATATATTTTTTATATTTGAAATATTCTTAAAATTTTCTGCTTTTCAGGAAAAGTCAAAACTTGCAAATGGTGCAACAGAAGCTAATGGATGTATATTCTGTGATAGTCAGTTTTCTTCTCTAGTGGATCAGAAACAAGCTCTTAGGCAAAGAAATACAGTTGGTCAGGTGCACCATCGTGGAAGAGGTAGGGGAAGAGGTAGGGGTGGAAAAACAAGAGGAAGAGGGAGAGGAAAGCCTAAAGATAAAATGGCTCAATTAGCTGCCTATTTTGTATAGTTTTGTGTTTTTTACACAAAATTTTATTTATACAAAATGAAAAATCCTTATTATTTAATTAAAGATTTTAAGAAAGAATCAAAAATTATTTTATTTATAAGTACAGTAATTCATTTTTTTACATATTTACATTGTGTATATACACTGTTATAATATTAATATTGATGTTTTTGGATCAAACTTTCCTAGATTATATTTGATAGAATATGTTTGTTGTACTAAATTTCAAATAATTTTTTACCTTTTTCAAATAACTTATGTCCATATTGAACATTGAAAAAATTATTTGTACTAGAAATGGTCTATGTCCTGGATTTATGAAAGTATCACATTAATGACTATTGTAAGTTATCATAGCATCAACAGTTATTGCATTACCGTTGTCTTTACAAAGTATGTTGTAACTGAAAATATCATAAATATGTGACATTACATTATCATAAACAGTACAATTGAAAAGTCTTACAGCAGTGGTTGTAGTTCCACACAAGTCCATCATGCAAGATACCCTCATTGACATTTTTGAAAACTAATCAAGAAGGGTTCATTTATGGTTAGAGAATGACAGAAGACACTTCCAACACTCATTGTAAAAATGTAATTAACAGTATTGGTTTAACTGATTATCATAACCTGTTAAATTCAGGACTTAAAGCAATAAAATTACTGCAGAGGAGCTTTCTGTTCATTCTATATTGGCTGTCTTAAAGTTATTCAAGTTAGCTGATTCAAGATGTGCCAGATATTTAACAACATTGATAAAACTTATCATTTGCCTCTTCTGTCAATTTAAAGCATTGTAGCAACAGAATTAATTTAATACTAATTAATGCAGACAAAATAATTTAATTTGAGGAGCTGAGATATCAATTATGAAATCTCAGTACAAAAAATGAAAGAGAAAGTAGAAAAGTATACAAAAAATATACATTTTGTTTTTTTGTAATAATTATTAATACTTCTGACAAACTAAACTTTTGTCGTCATTTTCGGAAACTAAACTTTACATGGAAATTCTATTGCATGCTGGTTAGATATTTTCAGCTGTTTCTTGATTGTTGGGGTTAATTGAAAATAAAATATATTCTGAAAACTGGATCATTAATATATACAGGTATACTTTGCCTTAACGTCGATAATTGGTTCCAGGAGAGGCGACGTAAGTCGAATTTACTTGTCTCCGAATCTACTTGTCACTAGGCTTAACCATAAATTATTATTCCCGGTTCTGTATTTTATTTATTAATGCATTTTTAATAATATATGGTTAATAAAGATCTATTTTAAGCTTACAAACAAATAAATTTTAGTTTTTAATATAGTACAGAAAAAAGTA